AGGACCAAATTGAGAAAGCCCTTTTGCAGGACCAAATTGCTGCAAAGCTTTTTGCAGAACCATGTTCAAGAAAGCCCTTTTGCAGGACCTGCAAAGCTTCTCCCCTCACGTTTTCTTCACCTTCTTGATCTGGATGGCAGCATCAACGAGCTTCCCCTTCGCATCCTCCAGGCTCACCTTGTCCCCCATCTTTTGCAGCTTCTCAAGCTTTGCCAGGCATTTATCCAAAGGCTTTCCCTTTGCAGCACCAACATCCTTTTTGACTGCCTGTAGTAGCTTGACCATCCTGGTGACCCTGAGAGCAGCCTCCTTCTTTGGCAGGGCCTTGCCCACCTCAGACAGGACTTCAGCCTCTGCCACTTGGCCATCCTTGTCTTTTTTTTTGCCACGGCTATCTTCATCTTCCTTCTCATCCTCGTTCCTGTCTTTCAAGGCCAAGGGCTGCTTGTTGCCAGAGCCCTTGCTGTTACTGGGCAAGACATCCTGGAGGGCCTTGTCAGCCAAGGTCTTGTCCTCAGCTCCATCCTCTAGTAACCCTTGGCTTTCAGCTCCAGCCAGTGTGCTGCTTCAACCTTCACATTGGTCTCACCTTGGAAGCTATGCCTGGCCTCCTCCTCAGTCCATGCCACAGACTTTCTCAAGCTGAACTGCCACTCATGTCTGTCAGCTCGGTCCCTCCCAGAATTCAAGTCTTCTTCGAATGGGGCCCCAGTGCCAGCGACCATTTTCACAGCAGTTGACCCTCCATGACTTGTCACACATGTAGCACTTCAAGGTCCAGGCTTCTGCAGTGCTCAGTTTCCTCCTCCAGATCCATCCCCTGTGGCAGTTGTTGCACTGGATGTAGCACCAGTACTGGTGCATCCAAGACATCCAGCTCCACAACCTGTCCTGTCATTCTGGGCAAAGCCCTTTTGCAGGATTTCAGAGGACCCAATTGGAGATGTGTGTGTTGGACAAAAGAACGTTCAAACATCTGTGTTTTTGGATGTTGGAAACATGTAAAAATTGTTGTTTTTGTGTGAAAAATACAATGGGTTTTAAGCTTTCAAACCAACAGCTCCTGTTGGTTTATTTCGATAAAGCTTGCGTTTCAACAGTGAACCTCTAAACCAATAAACTTGTTGAATCTTTTCAACAGGGCGCACTCTGGGTTGAGCGCCAAACGCGCCTGGCTGCTGAAAACGATTGCGTTTGCTGAATCTGCTGCGTCGAAATGGAAGTTTGGATTGTTTAAACTGTCAAAACACCTTTATTGCCCAGTTAGAAGTTAGCAGTGTGTTTCCACGATTTTCCGTGATTTTCAATCAGTTTCCATCATTTGCCATCCCTTCGGAAAATGGGACTATGATTATCCGCAATTCACACACGAATATTTCTTGGAGTCTCAACATCTCAGCCGCCACGCAGCTTGTCTGGGGCTGCCCCCAGATGGAAAAGTCGTTGACTATTTTTGACGATTACTTACTTCAAAAGAACAAATGCCATGTTTGGTTAGCGCAACTCCCAAAACGGCCTTTTACTTTTCAAGTTAATGAATCAATGCAATTTACCTTGATATATTCCATGTTGTTGAACATATTATATCCCATTATATTTCCCCATTCATAAATATTCCGTATCCCCATAAATATCACCAAAAATCATTCAAATGCCTATTTGTTACGGGGTCCAAAAACAAGTTAAATTATGTACTGTATATATAATATATATATATATACATATACAGACCGACAGACAAATAGATAGATAAACAGATAGATAGACAGATAGATAGAATTCACCATTTTGACGGTTTACTTTCCATAAGTCATTTTTTGGGGGGCCCTCAAAAGGTTGAAACCACAGCCTGCCATGGTGATCACCAACGCCATGGCATGGTGGGCAGCGCCGGTGTCACATGTTGCTGCGTGGTGCTGGCAGGCTATGGGCTGGGCTGGAAGTCATGGCTGGTAAAGCTACTAGTTTTTAGTGACTGGGTAAGTGGTGAGAGTTTTCCGTGTTTCCAGGTGTTTTTTTCTATATATATATATATATACTTTGCCACTTTGGATTGGAAACATAATCTGAAGAGCCATTTTGACATGGAGTATCACAAGTTTCCCCATTGAAATAGCTATGATAGAAGTGAAGCAGGTCCACTGTTTTTGCCTGGTTTTCCACGCGATGATAATAGTGTTATTCCACTTTCCGATTAACATAGTTGGAGGCTTGATCCCATTTCTGGACACAACCACCTGAGATTCTTGTTTATGTGTCATATAAATATAAGTATAACATATATATATATATATATTACATATAATTTGATATCTCTATTACCTATAATATAATATTTATATTACCTATAATATAATATCTATATTACATATAATATAAATATATATATATTTATATATATGTATAGACACCTGGCTGAATTGTAAAGACCTCACGGTGATGTCACTGGAATGATGGATGAGGAATTGGGGGGAATCGTCCCCAAATGGCCGCTTAAATTTAACCTATTTTCAAGGTTCGTGAATTACGTCTTATAAATCAGCCAGATATTTTTTTTCATACATATTTTGTCAGAAAATAGATGAAAATAGTTAACCTATTTCATTACATACTATTTCCCATCCTATTTTCTGATAAAATGGTTGGGTTTCGTATGTCTACATCCCCAATTCAATTTGCATAATTTGTTTCAGCCCATTTCCGCACAGAACCTTTCCACATTTTGATGGCTTACTGTAATCACTGTTTCTGACGGTTGAATCATGTGATGGTTAAATCACTATTTCTGACCGTTGAATCACTATTTTTTATGGTTAAATCACTATGTTTGATGCTTAATCTCTATCTTTGATGTACATAAATCCCTCCTTTTGACCCACCAGGATCTCATTTGGATGTCACGACTTTGGCACGACTTCTGGGTGAGGTCTGCTACCAGGGAAAGCCTGGCTCTTGGCGCGTCTGCGACAGTGCTCGATATGGCAAGAGCTGCAGGTGCTTCGGCTGAGTGGTGCAAGGTCGGCCATGGTGTCAGTGCAGTTGTGTCGTTATAAATGGCTATAACTTGACCATGGGAGTTTTTCAAGGCCATAAGTTTGGAAATGACATGATATAACCGCTATAACTATAGAAGTTAATTATATATATAATATTATGTATATATATATATAACTGGAACTGCTCTTCCAAGATTGGTGTCGGCGTTGGGTGGTTCACCAGCAAGAACAATTAGGTATTTGACCAAAAAGTCCGTTAACGAACAAAAAATTAGATTTTATACATCACACCAATCTATATGTATATATATATATACATATCCAAAAGTAGGTTTTGGAGTTCTGAATCTGAGTATGCCAGACTGTTCAAGGATAAAACCATTGTAACGATGGTTAATTTATGTTAGTTCATAATTATACTTGATATTCAATGGTGGGGATGGGTTAACCTTCGATAATCAAACCATGGAAAACTTATGGAACCAGATGGTTCCCCAAGGGTAAGCATGAAAGAAGGATGAAACATGTCAGTTTAATTTGATTTACACAGCGCTTTCTGGAATGGTATCTAAGATTAACCATGTTCAACCGGGCTATGAATTCTCACAGTTTTGGAATGTGCAGACCAGATCTGTAGGCTATTTTGATTGGGAATCATACACTATTGTTGAAACAAATATTTGATATATATATATACTGGTTGGTGGTTTGGAACATTTTTTATTTTCCATTTCATATATGGGATGTCATCCTTCCCATTGACTTTCAACATTTTCAGAGGGGTTAAAACCACCAACCAGTATATATATATATACATATACATATACATTGAGGGCCCACCATCAAAAATATATTTTTCATATGCGGATGCGGCCCCAAAAGCGGGCCCTGGTGGCAGCGCCGTTTGAGCACAAGCCGACTGACAGCCAAACGCATTCTCCACTACCGAACTGTGAGGAGACCAATTGCAACGGATTATGCTTTGGAAGGCATGTATTTTGCTTGGGAAGGCATGTGGCTCGAAAACAGGTGTAGAACCCCATGTGGACAAACTCCACGGAGACCACGCTACCCGAAACATCCCGAAACTATTGCTCCTCAAACTTGCATGTAAATAAGGGATTACGTCCCTCCCATCTGTGGTTACGCCTCTCGTACGTCCCGATTACGCCCCTCCAGCCCGCATGTAAATAAGAGATTACGTCCCTCCCATCTGTGGTTACGCCCCTCGTACGTCCCGATTCCGCCCCTCAAACCCGCATGTAAATAAGGGATTACGTCCCTTGTAGCGCTTTGGCCGTATACTATAGTATATCCCAAAGCGCGCGGACGGGATGCACGGCAACAAGTGCACGCCGCACACTCAAAACAGCTTCCTGACATAAGCATTGTAAAGGCAGCACGCTGCCAGAGCGCAAGAGGTTAGCATGGCTTCTTGCGGCCCTGGAAAGTGGACCCTTTTCACTGATGCAAAACAGCTTCTGCGCCATGTCCCCTCATAGTATTATATGGATGTGTGTGTCCATGGCGGCTTGCATTGCAGAAGGAAGGCTGGTGCCAGCAAATGGACGAAATCCGGGCTGTCAGGACCGTCGAGCAGCTCCTGTTTGCTCTTTCGTGGTCACAAAAATGGGGCCAAAAACCGGGCCCAAAAACGGGGCCGCAATATTGCCGGAAGAAGGAAAGACTTCCAAAATGGCGGCCCCGTTTCTGGGACCAGGGTGTTGCATACACAGTCAGCCACCCGCGGCGTGCAGTGAGTAGCGGAGACTCTGGAACCTTTCGTTTGTTTTCCTGGCAATGGGCTTGACAAAGCCTCATCCAAGTTTCACAGTATACATATTTTTGAATAAGTCAAAGATCTTGGTTTGTCTGAACATAGAGTGCCCAAAATTCGAGGGTTAATTTTCCACACTCTACACATTTTCAAAAAATTGAACGGCCATCGGATATCCACTGTTTTTGGACCCACATTTTTGGGACGGTGCGCATCAGGCAGTGGTAATGCACTTACAGGAGCTGCCAAGAACTTATCTATTGGTTGAAGGAGTGCGTGATTTTACCCCTTTTGTCGAACCAATGTATGACTTGTACAGAATTTCCGCATGCATGCTTCAACTTTACAGAACATATCATTCATATATGGTCACAGGATTTGCATTATTTTGTTGTTTGGTTTTCAAGAAGTATCGTCTTTTTATATCCATGAAATGGGGATGGGTCATAACGGGTCAAAACACCTATGAAATTAGCATATTTACGGAGGGAATCAACATCCATAGATCCAAACTATTTTAATTCCACAATTTCCCATATGTTCCCGTAGTTTTTTCATATTCCAGATATTTCCCAGAGATTTTAACCATGATTTTCCCATGGTATTTTCCCAAACTCCGCCAAAAATCCCATTAAATTCCCAACGGGATTCCTGGTTCACCTTCCATTTTCCCATCGCTTCTCATATGTTAGCTATAGCAGCTAGGGGTACTCACAGGATGGGGCCCCCAAGATAGCGTTCAGTTGCCTTATAAGTGGTTGATTTCTATGGTTTATGGTAGATATAACGAACTAGTTCATGGTGGTTATAATGGTTTATAAACCATTATCTATAGTTATATCTACTATAAACCTTTAAAAACCATTAGCTATAAGTATATCTACCATTAACTATAGTTATATCTACCCTACAGGATGGTTATTACTGGGGCCCCATCCTGTAGGCTACTGCTATCCTCAGGATGAGTTCCTTTCGGCTCCTCACACCGTGGACGCGAACCAGGATGCCCAGGATGCGCCAGCAGATGGGTATTGCAATAAACAGAGAGCGATTTGAAGCACCAAATATGAAATTGTGGGTTTATGGTATCAAATAAAATCTTACCCAACACATTTAATGTATTTGAGATTGGAATGTAGCCATAAACTGGCTAAATTACTCAAATATTATAATGAGATGGTTGGTGGTTTGGAACATGGCTTTTATTTTCCATTTCATACATGGGATGCCATCCTTCTCATTGACGAACTTATATTTTTCAAGATGGTTTTTTAACCACCAACCAGATTATAGATCAATTTTTCATGGTTAAATTGGTTAAACCTCCATTTTTCATAGGAAAATTACTCCAATATTATAATGAGATTAGAATGGGATCTTACCCAACCCAAGAGGATCGGTGGAAAAGGATGGGATTTCGCCTCTGGTAAACGCACGAAAGTTTACACGTTGCCTGCGAAGCTGGTGGAAAAGCACCATCGTTTACGTTCGGTAAATCAACGAACTTTCTATGGCAATTTTCCATCTACCATCTGGTTTTTTAACATAACCGTGGAAAATCCCTAATAAATGGAGGTTTTTTATGGGAAAAACATCTATAAATGGGCCATCTATACCATGGCTATGTTAGTCATTACCAGAGGGTATTGAGGTTTGGAACTATGGCATGCGATAATTACAGTGAGGGTGAAAAAACCTCAAGTTCTTGCCATGTTTTCGGGATTTACTGCAGTCTCAATGAACTGAAACATGGAGGACAGCCAACAATGTTTTTCACATTCTCATGGAGGACAGCCTCAAAATCAGATCTTTACCACAAGTTATGACCATGAAGATCCATGGGAAACGTGATCAATGGCCATTTTTAGGCACATTGGAGGTATACCTACCATATATATATATGGGTTCGGTGCGTTTCCCGGCCCCTTAGGAAGTATGTTTTGGGTTTGTTATGATAAGTTGCTCTTAATCCACATATATATATAAGCCATATATATATATATATACATATGTTTTTGCCAATGTAAAGGCGACATTTCAGGGAAGAACCCGGCCCAAAATATGTCGAACAAAAGTTTTCCCCAAGTCGACCAGGCGGCCATGTGTATCCGCCAGGAGTTCTTGTGGCATGTCATGAAGTTTCAGAGCCTGGAACTGCGTGTCCTGGAGCAAAGCTGCTTCTGGGGAAAATCCCCATGACATATGGAGCTTCGAATGGGACAATTCACCATGGAACAATGAGATTTTCATGGGAAATTGATAGGAAAGTTTGCTATGGAAAACCACCATTGTTATATAATGGGTAAATCAACTATAAATGGCAATTTTCAATAGCTATGTTAGTTTACCAGAGGGTATGGAGGTTTTAATGGGACAATTCACCATGAAACAATGAGGTTTTCATGGGAAAACATCATGGGAAATTCATAGGAAACTGCCAAATTTGATGGAGGTTTGAATGGAAGAATCACCGAACGAAATCGAACTCGGGGATTTTGGAGCCATGTTTGAGTACCGAAGGGTAAGCCAAAGCCATCTAAGTCCAAGTCAAAGAGTGACGTTGCGCCCATCGGGTGATGTGGGTGTTGCATGGTTTTGCGTTCTAGAATGGGATCTTATTCAATGATTCTCATTGATAAGTTGAATGCTGGGATTGCTTCAAAATCAGTGAGCAGCAAGTGGATCGTTGCATATTGGACACAACCAATTCAAGAGTCTCATGCTGACTGTATTTTGTTGGGCCTAATCCAAGCAGTTCATTCTGTGCCCAACTTTGATGCCAAGTGGACGCCAAGCCACGATTATTGGCAATTGCAGCAGGTATTATGATCTGGTTTGTGGTTTGGAACATTTTTTATTTTTCAATATATTGGGAATAATCATCCCAACTGACTTTCATATTTTTCAGAGTGGTTGAAACCACCAACCAGTGATGTATTATGGCCGGGTTTTTTAAAAACTAGGAGACCGAAAGAAAAATGTGGTTACTTCTTGAAAGTTGTCCACCCCGAAAGGAGTACCCTCTGGTTATGTCCAAATAGCTATTGAAAATGGCTATTTATAGTTCATTTACCTACTAAAAAATAGTGATTTTCCATAGTTGTGGGACAGTTTCCCAGAGGGTATCATTTTTAGCCCACCCAAGAAAACAACACATGAAAAATCCGAGCGCTTTTGCTTTGCCATGTTTCGTTTGGCCTGTCTGAATTTTCCAGAGGGTTGTCTGAGATTTCCAAATTGGAAGCACCTCTCTGTGGTTGGTTTCCTCATAGGGGTACCCCGAAATCATCCAAGTCATTAGACCATTTTAGACCATTTTAGTCTTACTGGTGCTAAACGCAGGGAATTTTCGGGAATGATCCATAATCACTAGTAATAATCATCCCAGCAACCGTCTTTCCCATTCATTCCCTACGTTTAGCACCAGTAAGTGATATATCCAATAAATCCCATGATATATCACATAAAGCCATTATTTTCCATTTATCGATGGTGACCATCCCCATCCACAATGGATTGCCCACATATGGCGATCAACACTGGAAGCTGTTATACCAATGGCAGGCCCAGGATTTTAACCACCAGAACTTGGGGTGCATCCTAGGCATTGTTTGTTTGGTTTATAAGCGATATTAGTGTATATAAAGATACAGTAAACCGATATGTACATATATAATAATCATATATATATATATAATCATATATATATATAATCATATATATATATATAATAATCATATAGATAGATAAATAGATAGATAGATCGATCGATAGATAGATATAGACATATAATCCATATTGCTGCTGATATTTGCATAAATGCTTGCATTTTTCCTATTTCGATTTTTTAGCCACTTAGTGCGGCCCGCACATCCAAGTACCACAAATGAAAGCGATTAGAAATACCCGTGTTGATTGGTTTTTGTAAGGAGTTATACTACCTAGTCAGTGGGGATTATTATAACATATTATAACATATTTTAACCCATCTATGCCATATTAGGGGCACCTATGAACTAACTAGCATTGCATGAGATGGGAAAACGGAGTATTTTTAACGGCTTTTAACGGAAAGCCACAGGATATCGCTTGGAGAACGCGGATGACTCCGGACGACCTACGCTTCTTACTCTCAGCCACTGAACTGGCAGATTGGTGGAAGGAAGCCACCAAAGTGAGTGGGTCCAAATAGATGACCACTTGGTTCCACTGTATATACGTATATATGGTCCAGCGTTCCAACCCTCCCCCCCCCCCGCGATGGTCATGGGTCAGCCGTAGTACTGTCCCCCTCGGTACTGTCCCCCTCCCCCCTGTGGTGTGGTGGGGGTGTGGTTATATACATATATATATATAAATGTTTATATGTATATATGTATGTATGCAAGTGTATATATATATAGATATGTATATGAAAATATTGATATGTGTATATATATATATATGTATAAATATGAATATGTGTGTGTATATATATAGTTGTGTATATAAATATGAATATGTGTGTGTATATAAATACATATATATATATATACGTATGTGTCTTTAATATATATATATATAGGAAGTAGATACATAGCACATGTATACATAACTATAGGTAGCACGTAGGTACTTGGAGGGAGTATGTGTGCTACGGAGGTTGTCTAAAAGGTAGCATGTACCTAGTAAATGCGAGGCTGGTAGTCAGAATCGCTGCAAAAACCTAGCGAATACGAGGCTGGACCTCAGAAATGCTGCCAATAGCTTGCAAATCGAAGGGAACGGGGTGCTACCTGGGGACCCATACCATTGGGGGGGTAGGAACACGGAACACGAGACCATATATATATATATATTTCATATATGTGTGTATATATATATATAATATAGCTCTATATATATTTATATACATACAATCTATGCTAGATCCAGGCGTGAAAGAAATCCGCGAAATCTGAGTTCCGAATACAACCAGATAATGATTGAGTTGCAACTCGTCAGACTGAAACACCGAGTTTGGGGCACCACTACCCTCTGGTAAACCAACAACAAAGTATGGAAAATCACTATTTTTAATAGGTAAATCAACGAACTAAAGGGACATTTTACGTAGTTTTTTGTATGTTTACCAGAGGGTATACGTGGTTCCCTCTTTATTCTCTATATCATTTTCAATGGTCTTGAAATCATGACAACCAATCCTACCATGTAATTTCTGGATTTAGCAGGAAAAATGAGGTGTGAATCATCAGATACTTGTCGTCGCAAGGTCTGACATCTTGATGTCCCAAGTTGATTGGAAATTCAGTTTTAACCGATCCATGGTTAAAAAATCCACATTTGTTCAACCAGTTAAGGCATGTTAAGTCTAATGGCATCACTTTCTGTTCCAAAAAAATTGCTTTTGGCTGTCACTCCAGGGTTTGTCATCCCAATCATCCCCATCATGGCTGTTGTTGAAATCGCCGGCGTGAACCCGGGATCCCCGGGATCAAGGAGTAGATATATCTGGGTAAATTATAACGACCTCACTGTTCTCCCTCACTGGAATCATGGTTTATCTTAGGGAAATCGCCCCCAAATGCTCTTAATTCAGGTTGGTGAATCATTATAATTTACCCAGATACTGTATATGATATCTATATGATATCTATATGATATCTATTGATATCTGATATGTCACTTCCCTTTTTTGCTGGTTAAATTCAACTCTTTGATATTCTCTGTACGTTTATATCCTCAGTTTTAATACTTCTTCCCAGCATGTGTTACGTGTGTTTGGAACGTTTTAGGCTGGGGAACCTTTCAAGATTTGTAGGTGAAACGTTTTTTTTTTGGTCAAACGGCCAATAGGCCTAATTTTACTCAATTCTTGCATATTAATTAACAAAAAACTACATGAAACGGGTTTGTCTGAAAGATAGATTACTCTGAATTCCTAACTACCCTCTGGTAAATTAACATAGAGCCTGAAAATAACCTAGTTTTAATGGAAACTAATCTTCCAACCCCGACAACTGCCAGGGTCTATGTTAATTTATCAGCATATTTTTTGAGACTGATTTTTTTTTGCATTAAACCACCCATTTGCAAACCCATAAATAGTGTAACAATTATATGTCCAATCCGTTGGTTTCATTCCATTTTTCCGTTGATTTTCTATGAAAAAAATCTTGGCTTTGCCAACAAACATCCAGCAAAAATTGTAAAGTTCAACGAAATCAATCTAGAATACTTGTAGGGAAATTATTACCACATGACTACTTGTTTCATACCAAGACGTATTTCAATGACCTAGTTCAATCCAAGTATTGACCCATGAGTCGGGGGAAGATGAGTTTCCACTAAACAGTTTCCACTAAACATTGGCTATTTCCAGGGTCATAGAGTCATACTATTAATGTACTAGTGGGTACTACTTGAAGTACCATAAGAAGACCTAGTAATACTTAAAATATGCATTACTTGAAGTCTCATAACCTAGTATTACTTGAAGTATCATATTATCACTTGAATAAGTATTACTACTTGAATCTCAAATATGAGGATGGGTCAAAACCTATGAAATTACCACATGACTGGGGGAATGACACCCAGTTATGCCAGCTATGACTTAGGGTACCCTTTGGGTCCCAGGGTTTTGACTCATATGGGGGTTTCATAAATAGATAGGGCTATCCCCAAATCTTCCATTTGAAAAGCGGATTCATTTAATTTTTGGGGTACCCATCATTTTAGATTGGACACCTCCATATGAAATCAGTGACTTGGGGAAGCCATGGTAGTTCCACCTTTTTCTTTTTAGGTCAAAATTGGGTACCCCAATACTTAGATGGTTAATACACAACAACATGGAGGTTTCCAATCCATAGAGGTTTTCTCCCAATTCTCATCCATTTGATGTGCGGATTTCCCCTTAAAAAATAAACCATCCAACTATTGGGTATCCGTCATAGTATCATTTACCCTTTGGTAAGCTAACATAGCTATGGAAAATCACCTTTTTTTTATGGGTAAATCCACTATAAATGATCATGTTCAATAGCAAACTGTTAGTCCCCATTCCAGGAACCACCCATATAAATTTCATCCCAAAAAATCCCAAAAACCTCCATATGACTTAGGTGAAGTGGTACCCCACATTATCAACCATCATTTAGATTCATTTAGTCCATGGATTAAACCACCATTTTTGCTTATATAACTCAGTCAAGAACCATTATAGAACTATATCCATTTTTGGTTGTCTATACCACTCTTTTTGGTTATAACCATTCATCCCCAACCACCATGTTTGGTTATATGTCAGTCATTTCATCCCAAGAACTTACCCAAGAACCAGAACCTCCACAGGTGAAGTAACTGTGCCCGAACTCGACTTGCCGCGCTTGCACCTCCTGACAGGTGCAGCAGTGAAAACGCTGGATTCGCGCAGTCATTTTGTTTGATCGATTTCTTTTAACCATCACAATATCGCGATATGCCATAAAACACTATATGTTTGATGTTTTAATAAAGTTTCAACTGTTTTTACCAAGAAAATAATGTTTTTTAATGATTTGTTACCATGAAATGATCGGGGTAGAAATGTGGATATGCCTGATATGCCTGATATGCCTGATAAACGTGAATTCAACGCTCATGTTGGTGTTGCACTTGGACATTTACCGGGAACCATCAGCAATTGGTCAAGAATAGGGGATCACCCTCTGGTAAACTAACATAGCGAACTGGAAAATCATATTTTTGAAGGGATAAATCAAGGAACGAATGGCAATTTTCCAGCTAGCTATGTAACAAATTTCCAGAGGATATCTATTGTTCAATTCGTATATAAACTGGTTGGTGGTTTGGAACATTTGGATGATTTTTCCATAGATTGGGAATTTCATCATCCCAACTGACTTTCATATTTTTCAGAGGGGTAGGTATATCACCAACCAGTATATATGGGTATGGGTCAATACCTATAGATACATTTTTAGTGGGATGAACATCCATTTACCAGCTATTTTGGGGTTCACTAGGTACCAGGGTTTTGACCCATCCCCATATATTTCCAATAAATCCCATGATATATCCCATAAAGCCATTATTTCCCATTGATTGATGGTGATCATCCCCATGAACAATGGACACGAATCGTGACTTCCGCGCTTTGACAATGGACGTTTTCTCGGACGGGAGAAGGTAGGACAGGTAGGAGGTGGATATTCTCTTGTTTAAGCCATGGAAACCATGGCCGATTGCAGGTACCTACTATAAGGCCAAGAATTTTCAAGGACCATCCCCAGAAAACATGGTCTTATATGATCTTATATGGTACTAACGTAGCTACATTTTAGGATCCTGAAATTCCCATTGAATTGATGATAAAAGTCATGATTTACTGATTGAACATGGTGACTTTCCACTTCGGAAAATCTTAAATGAGCAGAGAGTACCAGTGGAAATAAACTGGTCCATGGGCTACCTTCCGATTTATGGCTATCTTTCTTTTTGGGGAATCGGATGTAATCATGGGATTTTTTTGGGGACCTATTTTCAGACAACACCTGACTGGTGGCTGTAGATACTTGTCAGGATGAACAATGACTTTCATTTTTTTGGAGGATGGGTTGAAACCACTCATAATGATTTTTTTGGTGCACAGGGAGGATACCTTTTAGTATAGTGAAACATGAAAAACATGATGAATTTCTCCATTGATAGAGGCTTTTCCATTGCCATGTTTGATTATGGCCACCAAAAAAGATGCCAACACGTGTTTCTACCGGAGCTTTGAAGCCCAGGTCATGGATCCATTCTCAAATCGACCGATTATTTGAGGGACTCAGACTGTCAGATGTGCAACAAACGATTTTGCCAAGAAACAACGATGTTTTTTTTTGCAACAAATCATGGGGCGTATTTCTGAGATAGAGATAAACAATGATAAAGATACGCAACAGCAACAACATCAATGTGGATTTGGGTGTGCCCTCTGGTAACATGGCTGGAAAATCTACCACTTTCTTCGATTGCTCAGTTTTTTAGAAGATTTCCCAGACACATTTGATGACACCGGAGGGTAGTTTCTGCTAATATTCCCCATTCTATTACCATTATTGTCCCTCTTTGAAACCCACAAACAACAATATTAAACTAGCATCAATACCTTAGAAATAAATCTATATAACCATAAAAACCATATAAAACTAGCATCATTTACCTCCATTTTCCACTAGTCACTAGTAACCCCCCCACCATTTTCACGTGTTCTCCCCAGATGATTATCCCGTGGTGCAGCCACTTAGATATTGGCTAAGTGTCAAAAACTAATTGTTACAATATTTGGGGGGAACAAACATCCATCAACATCATTCACGAACTATTTTTTTTTGTTAAACATAAGGTACCCTAAGGTACCTCCTCATAGCCATATCAATCCATATCAGATCTGGTTGGTGGTTTCAAACATTTGGATTATTTTCCAAAATATATGGGATAATCCTTCCCATTGACGAACTCATATGTTTTTTAGATGGTTTTTTAACCACCAACCAGATTATAGATCCATTTTTCATGGTTAAATTATGGTTAAACCTCCATTTTTCAAAGGAAAACAACAAAATTTGGTTATTGCACCACCAACCAGAGATTGATCCCTATCCCCATTTTTGTAGGCGAAAGCGACGACGTGGAGGGCCTGGTGCAGCTGGTGCTGAAGCTGCTGCAAGAATTGAATCTGAGGCGCCGGAGCATGCGGAGCGCGGCTGCTCCGGTGCATGATTCCACGCTGAAATTTTCAGATGGGTCAAAACCTATGAAATTACCATAGTTGGGAGAATAAACATTCATGAACCAACTATCGCTTAGGGCACCTAAGGTACCATTGTTTTGACACATAAACAATTTTTGTATTTTTCCAACAGCCAACACTTCAATGGTGAATCACTATAATGTATACAGAACAAAGATTGGGGGTTAAGGAAGAAATGGGGATTTAACCATCAGGAGTTGGGATATATCAATTCAAGGATCAAGAAATTGGAATTGCCCAACCAAGATACCCCCTGGTAAACTAACATAGCTATTGAAAATTGGCATTGAAATAGTGAGTTTTCCCATTAAAATGGTGGATCTTTCCATAGCTATGTTAAATTACCAGAGGGTAGTGGTATCATGGGGATATCATGTGAATTCTATTGACAGTTTTGATCACGACCTCACTATAAGAGTTCACAGGAATGATGGTTGGTAAGGGGTAACTATTCCAACATAACCCTATTTTAGGTCGGCCGAATATGATCATTTGCCCAGATTATTGGTTGTAATTGATTGAGATCAAACAAGGATACCTGCAGAATCCAAAGGTATCAAAGAAATCAAGAATCAGTTGGATGGGTGAAATTTTCATGAGACATAGCCGCTATTAAAATTTCTATCCAGCGCTGCCTTATGGATCTGTCCAAAGCAGATTGTGAGTAGATCTAGATGGAACATGTGTCTGTAAATAGTCTGTAGATGTCCCAAAATATTACCGCTTGTACGGGGTGATAGTCCAGTGGTCCAGTCGCCATTTACTCACAGCGATGGTTATACTGGGATGATGATGGTTGAGCATTTGAAATATATAACGTATTATAATTATAATATATGTGATATGAATATAAGATTATATAAGCATATTTGGATATATTTCTAATAATAATAATAAATTGCCCTATATATTTTGTTTATATCTGTCAAAACGATTCATTTGCATGCCCTTTGCGGGCATTGCCATACTCGTTACTAAGACAGTTGCAATAGCCATAACATATATAAACCCCCATACAGTGATCATAAAAATATGGTATAATATAATACGATGTAATATGATGTAATGTAATATCATACCATGTACTAAACATGATAACAATGTAAAGCTAAATATAGAAATACACACACTCTCCAAGTAAACATACTATGCGTGGATGTGGAAAATCCGCCATTCGTAGAGCATGTCTTTTGCGGGGAATCCCATGGTTTTTCATACGTTTTGTTCGTTTACTGGAGGGTATGCATATATGTCGGGTTAGTGAATTATAATAACTTATCCGTTAGTATGTGTATATGATATATAACAACAAGCAAATAATAGGTAACAATAAAAACTATTTGATTATAAATAATTTCAATTATTGTTTTTGATTTAAATAACTTATATAGTACCATTATAATAACAATCAATATTCAGATAATTAATAATGATCATGATAATGGTAATATCTCTTGGGAATATTTCGGGGGGGCGGACGTTCGCCCGAAGTTTCATTGCGGGTTCGATTATGTAAAGTTCATTTAGGGTTTATTCAAGGTTGGTTTAGGGTTTACTCACGATTTGTTTAGGGTTTATTGAAGGCTGGTTCAGGGTTTATGTGGTGTTTCCTGGTGCTATTTAGGGTTGTCTTAGGGGATTTAGGGCGTATTTACGGTTGATTTAGGGCCTGTTTATGGTTGGTTTAGCATTTATTTATATATAGGTTAATTTTCGACCTGGTCGACGTATTTATAGGTTGATTTAGCATTTATTTATAGGTTAATTTTGTTTATTTACGGTTGATTTAGGGCCTGTTTATGTTTAGGGTTTGTTCCCGGAAACACTACAAACTAAAGGGTCCCTACAGAGTATATCTTTAAGATTGGCAATGGGACGCTGGCGGAGCAACACATATATTATCATATATACATTTATTTTCATATATACATATATTATCATATATACACATATTATCATATATACATATATTATCATATATACATATATTATCATACTTACATATATTATCATACATACATATATTATCATATATACACATATTATCGTATATACATATGTTATCATATCTACTTATTATCATATATACATATATCATCACATATATATATTTGTGTATATAATCATATATATATAATTATATATATATATAATCATATATATATAGACATAGTTATATATATATATAGACATCGTTATATATATAGACATAATATGTGTATATATATATATATTTATTCATTTATATACAATCATATATATATATATATTTAGAATCATATAAATAAATATATATATGATCACATATATTGACATATATATATATTCATATACACTCATATAGTCATAGATATTATCATTTATATTATCATAGATATTATCATACATATAGTCTTTTAATATACATAATTATTCATATCTTAATATTGGCAAAGATTGTGGAACAAAAATGAGCTTCGATGACTTCAGGCGCGTGATCTTCGTGGCCAGCAGCTCTTTTTCGCGCCAGCTGGCACTTGAAACGGCTTCGCTGTCAACGACGGCGGTGCAGTGCCCCGGTGTCCCAAACGGCCGAAGTTCAACGACTGGTATCCGAAGTTACAACTGGTAGCTGGTGAAGTATTGGCCAATTTGTCCATAGGTCCATAGATCTATATGGCGGATCAATACATATAGATATAATTTGTTAGGCAGAAGGGAGGATCGTGGGGGCCCCGTGGGGGGTGAAGGCGTGTACATTGTAGAAACGCGCATGTTTTGCACTGTCTGCTTGCAAACGGTCAACGCGTTGATAGTGCCTTAAATTTCTAAGAGAGGAAAAAAAAACATGGAACATTTTTAGCCACCTGGAAAATTCCCTTGCTTAACCAAGCATTTGTCAACCTGGTCCAAACCAGTGAAAACAAAAACTACCTTTTCCAAACAGATCTTTCAGCGATGTTTTGTGGAATCTTGTATCCTTGTTTGATACATTCTCACAAACATCAGTGTCACGCATGTAAATCCGAACTGTTTGGAAATTTAATGTTTGGAACTTGTACTGTGATCGTTGTCAATGAAGCCGTCAGTTTTTTTCAAGTGGCCTGTCCCGGCCCTATTCCCACCCGGCCACTTGAATACGTTGCTGCTCCGGAGTCACTTCCCAGCTCAAACTGCTAACGCTTTCATACCGCCCTGCTTACTCATGCAGTCGGAACTCACCTTGCTGGCGGCAGGAATCAGCATAGTCCTCCAGTATATGAACAGTTCCATGGAGCAGCCTGATCGGGCCAACAGGACGCTTCGCGCGTCGCGTTGCGAAAACTTTGAAGAGATCCTAAAGGGATGTACCATCATCCTTGAGTGCTGTGGCCGTGCCGACTATCTGACGTCCATATACCAACTTTGGGCCCTATGTAGCAATGCCATGTACCTTTTCGAGCAACAGTGGTGGCCGGACCAACACAACGAGACCCGTATGCATGTCGCCGCCCCTCCAATCCCGCTCAAACTGTCAGCGCTTCTTCGCCCAGGCTGGCGTGACCAGCATCATCTCATCCGCCTTGCCATGGCATCTTTGGTCACTCTTCGCGACTGGTTCATGGACTTCTTTGATGACCACACGCATCGAGACGTGTTGAACACTATTCGAGATGCTCTGCTTGTTTTTCAAACCGCAGTTGATTTGTTCGAGCTACATCAGGCAGTCCACGAGCCGCCCGCTCCCGTGCTGCCAGCCATTGAGGATCAGCCTGTGCGTTCCACCCCCGATGCTCCAGCATCTACTGGTGGATCCTAACAACGCTGTGTTTGACCGGATTTTGACAAAGACCAGGAAATTGCGGCCATGGTTTTTACACTTTGCAGAGATGGGATGTTTTTCATGGTTGCCAGCAGCTTCAATTTTTCGAAATTCTCTTTTGGCGATGCATGGCCGATGTGGTGGCCGCTTCTGGATGTCAGAAATGCCAAAAGTTTTGGATGCAAAAGCTGTTGGATGCTTTGAATGCACCTGATGATGTGCGATCAATGTGGCTGCAACCGCAGCGGAACCTTGACTTCCCCATTGCAGTCGTGCGAAAGAAAAATGTGTGTGCAGTGCGACACTTCACTCATTCATTCTGTCTTGTCAGTTTTACATGTGGTTTTTGTTTTACTTTGATGTAACTTGGATGTGTTGACAGCGTGGCGACCGTGCGTGAAATTTAAAAAATCATCCTGTCTGCTGATCTGCTTCCATTCCTGAAGCTTGGATCTATCACAAACTCTCATACAAACAATCCAAATTCTGAAAGAGGCAAAAACTGGTCCAAAACCATGGAAAAACCAAAAAAAAACAAAAGAAACAAAAAAAAACACCCCATGTCACCTGTCCAGCTTCTCCTCAGACCCTTTCATGGGTCGAAACTTTTTTTTTGTTTTTTTTTGGTTCTCTCGAGTTTTTTGCCACCTTGGCCCAAAAACGCCCCAAAACCCATGGAAAAACAAAAAACACAAAAAACCAAAAAGTTTCACCCCATGTCACCTGTCCAGCTTCTCCTCAGACCCTCTCCATGGGTCGAAACTGTTTGTTTGTTTTTTTGTTTTTTGTTTTTTTTGGTTTTCTGGAGGTTTTTGCAACTGTGTCAGTCCAACAATATCAATTCCCATTTTTTTGTGTTTTTTGTTTTCGTGTTTCTTGGGCTCCTGGGAGAAATTTTCACCCTGACAAACATCCACTGGCACAGCTTTCACCCCTCCACATTTTATATTGAGTTCTTTATTGAGTTACTGATTTTGGCTACTGAGCCATCAGAGAAAATGTACAGTAAAAACAGCTTTATCACCCACCTCTTCAGGCACTCCATTGGATTGATGTTTTACTGGTATGCTGAGGTTTTGGTTCCTTATATTTAAAGGTTTGGCTCGTGTTCTTCAAACCTGGAATCACTAAAAGTTATATCTAGAATCTAGTATAAAACATCTATTTTTCAAAAATGGTTTGTTTAAGTTTAAGCAACACTTTGTTGTACAAAAAATATGTTTGTCTCAAAGTGTTTGCTCCTTCAAAAAGGCAATATTGTATCCCTCACGACAAGACAAGATTCCTCTAAAGAAAAATGTTGTTTTCCTTAGGAAGAAGCAGATACTATTTTGTAGAATGCAACATTATTCTTCTTGGCAGCTCTTGCATGCCACAGATACAGCATTTCTTGAAGAAATGTTGGTATTCCTTTGAACAGACATGTTCATTTTAGATTTTGAAGGTTCAACTTTTCATTGTACAATGTAATAGGTTGAAAGACGCAACATTCTTGTAGTTATGCATTATATCTTGAAAACACTAGTCTAACATGTACTAGTCTTTCAAATAACATGTATGGTTGAAATTTACAATGTTTTCAACGCGAATCGTTCCTCCTCCCACTAGTCAGACATCACTTGTACAAAAATGAGCAATATGCCATTCAAGGATGCAATACCCCTAGCAGGAAGTGTGCAGCCTATAGCTAGAGAATACAGCCAATTTTTGTTCAATACAGCCTACAGCCCATTATCTCCTTTGAAAGGGGCAGCAATTGTGCAGAGCATGCAATAAATCTTTCAAACATGTGCTTGTATTTTGCATTTTCACAAAGGTGCAGTACACAATTCACTGCATGGTTGTCTTCAAGATGCATGATCTTCTCAAAAAAACTTGTTCAATATACAGCAGTCTTTTCGGGAAGTACATGTCTCAAGTTTCAGCTGCGCTTTCATGCGCAAATAAAGTGTATTGATTCCTTGCAAGTGTGTTACTTTTTTCAACAAGGCAACGCTTTTAAGGCAAAATAGATATGATGCCTGGAAAAGGTCTAGATTCAATCGTAGTTAAACCATCTTTTGAAGAAGTGCATGTTCAATCTGGACATGTTCTTTTTTGAAAAGCACTCATGAACAGCATGAAAGGATGCAGAACACTTTTCAGAAAATGCAGAATTTGCAGCTGGAAATTGCACTCATGTATGTTCAATATCAAGTACATATTTATCGAGAAACATAAACAATTGTGAACAAACAATCAATATGTCAAATAGTGTGTATATATATATACATACATATGCTAATATGTACAGCAATACAATGCAGAATTCATTGCAGGCATCAAAATCATTGTATATAGACATGTGTTCTTTTCCAAAGTGCTAAACAAAAAATAAAGCATTCTTGGAAAGAGACAACATCTTTGTAGAAAATGTAGTATTCTGGACAGTCGTGATTTGTGGCTTCATTTGCAAACCATTTCCATATCTCAAAAAAACTGCAAAACCAATACTTTCACTACTCCAGCCCCCGCGGTAGTCCGCTCTCAGGTGGTGAAGTATTGGCCAATTTGTCCATAGGTCCATAGATCTATATGGCGGATCAATACATATAGATACAATTTCTTAGGGGATGAACATCCATAAATAATATAAATACCGGCTATTTTGATGTGAACAGAAGGGGTACAAGGTAACTTGACCTATATACATATATAATCATATATATATATAGATATTATAGTATCTTTTGTTGGGAGATCCAATCTGGGGATAATCCAGCTGATCTCATAGGAACCTTCTCCCCGAATGGAGGTTTTACTGCAAATCATCCCAATTATGGGATGGTTTTCCTAGTTTTCCAGCCACTGTTGTGTCCCATTCATGAACACATCAGTTAATACATATAAATATAAATATAAATTTACATATAAATATACATATGTGTGTATATATATATATGCCATGGTCAACAGTTGGATAGCCTCAAGGCTCAAGCTGCCACGTAGCGAGGTAGGAGTGTGGTGCCCTACCGATTGAGCCATGGAGTTCTCACATGGACCTTTGACCCAGGTCGTGAAGTACATCTGTCCATCTCCGACCGTGTGCCCTTGCCACACTACCGGGTTACTTGTATCTTGACGGATTTGACTGTGGTCTTGATGGGCGTCTTACTTGTTGTCTTGGCTTGCCGTGTTGACTCTTTCCCGTTCCCTGGTAAGAGATGGTTCAGGAAACCAGACTAGCAGGGATACGAGTAGAGCAGGGATATGGGTTGTTTCCTTCCATTGCTTTGTTTAGTCTCATGAAAGCTGCCGTGGCGGATATACTCCTGTTTATCATATACTGTCAATGCTCATTGCAATTTTTGCGAGCTAACTCCAAAGCTTTTTAGTATCATGCTTCACATAGGTGCCTGCTCTTCTAAAGGTTTTTCCTTGTCTTTATTTGCTTGCAGTTGTTGCTTGCTTGATATTAGTTTAGTTATCCAGTTGACAGTGGTTCTCGTTGTACGGTCTTCCAAGATATGTACTTTTCGAAGCAGCTCTGACGGCATGGCTGTTTCTGTACGCCATTGTCTTTCACTCGACAAGGGGCAACCGCGCGATGTGGTTTGTCAACTGATATCCTTAGTGTGACATTTCCCTGTTATACGGCCAGGACATTAGTTAGCTGAGTGCTTGCCATTTTCGGTTCACCCCCATCCTTGCACCTCGTACCCCCCCTTAGCCGGGAAGGGGCGTTGGTGCTGCGACTTCGCTCGCGCGGGATTCCGTCAACAGTTGGATTATATACCTAAAAAGAAAGGGGGATGGCCAGCAATCCGTTCATGTCGATGAATATATCTAATATATCCATTTTTATTCCATTATGAGGATTCCTATTTTGGGATTGATGACCGCAAAGCACATATCCCCATATCATATCCTGATTTTGGGTTGCACATCCCAATGTGTCCCCATCATATCCCCATTATTCTTGGTTTGAACCATCCAACACTGTAGTATTGTGAGATAAAACCAACATATATTATGGAGAAACTATGGCCATTTACACCCCACTGTCTGTTACTACTGTATGTCCCATTCTATACTTTGATATTCTCCCATGTATTCTCACCAATGCATTTGACCATGGCATTATGTCCGTATATCCCAGTATACCAGTAGTACCGCACAAGGCGGTGGCGGAAGTTTCAGAAATAGGAAACCTATAGGAGAGGTTGGTTGTTGTGAATCACGGATGGCAGAGCGAAGCCAATGATGGACCGACAGGTGGTTGAGGTCTCCTCTCTTTCTCTCTCTCTCTCTCTCTTTCTTTCCCTTTCTCTGGCTACCTACCTACCTACCTATCTGTCTATCTATCTAGCTATCTATCTATCTACCTAGCTATCTATCAATCTAATTCACTCTACCCTAATCTAATCTAATATAATCTAATCTATCTATCAATCTATCAATCTACCTGTCTACCTATTTAATATTTACCTAATCTATCTATCTATCTATCTATCTCTCTCTCTCTCTCTCTGTCTATCTCTCTGTCTGTCTGTCTATCTATCTGCAAGCTTGAAAACGAAGCTATTCTGCGAGACTTCCTCAGTTTTTGAACTTGACAACACCAAAAACGCAGCAATTCAGCGAGACTTCCTCAATTTTTGCACTTGACAACATCAAAACGCAGCAATTCTGCGAGACTTCCTCATTTTGTAAGTTGACAACATCAAAACGAAGCAATTCGGCGAGACTTCCTTCAAAAATGGAAAGTTGAGTGCAGAGCTGACGGCCTCGTACCACCAATGTGTTTTGCGATTTCTTGACTCCACCTGTCTAAAGTCACGAAAAAGTGATACCTGGTCATACGACGTGCTGCACCTGTCACGCAAAATCATCTCAGCAAACCTGAAGATCTGCTCCAAAATGCAACCCCTCTCAGGAAATCAGCGCCCGGATCTCCTAACAGCTCTGATGAACATGTCTCTTGTACTTCGCCTGCCACGGAAAATGCATCTTTGCAG